GGGGGAGGGGGAGGGGGAGGGCAGAGTTGGGAAGCAGTGGCGGGAACCTGACCTGACTTCCTCATGTATACAGATGACTATCCCACCGTGAGTCCCACCATCATGCACATCTACAGATGCCAATTTTTTTAATGTAAATAAATAGCAGAAAGACAGTGACGTTGAGGAAATGGATCGGGGAGGAAGAGGGGGAGGGTAAGGGTAAGTACGGAGAACTAAATCAGAACAAATCATATGCCGTCCATTTAGATTATATCAAGATGATTCCTAATGTTACGTTTGACTAATAAGAACGATAAAAAATGGAAAAAAGAAAAAAAAAGGAAAGTTTATTTGGGCCCTGGACGCAGAGGTTTTGGTCTGCGATCCATCGGCTCCCTTGTTTGGGACTATGTAAGGCAGGACGTCATGGCGGGAGCCTGTGATAGAACAACCTACTTGCCTCATGGAGCAGGAGGCCGAGAGAGGGGAAGGGGCAGGGATCCCAACATGCCCTTCGAGGGCACTCCCCAGTGACCTAACTTCCTCCCATTAGGCTCCACCCCCTAAAGGGTCCAACAGCACCACCAGCTGGGGACAGAGCCTTCAGTGCATTCCCCTTTGGGGAACATTTAATATCCAAACCACAACACCTCTGTTAGGCTCAGTTAGCGTATCAGTTGCCTCTTGCTGCAGTAACAAATAACAACAAATTCAATGGCGTACCCAGCAAAATGTACTGCCTTGCAGTTCAGGAGGCCAGAAGTCTGACGTGGACCTCACCGGGCTAAAGGAAAGGTGATGGGAGAACCATGTTCACCTGGACTTCTGAGGGGAGTCTGTTTCCTTTGCCTGTTTCTGCGTGCCAGTCACCCACATTCCTTGGCCCTCAGTTTCTTCCTCCATCTTCAAGGCCAATACCCATCTTCAAGTCCCTCTCTTGCTCTTTCCCTTCTCTACTTGCCCCGACATTCCTTGTCCTCTAACTTGACTCTCCTGTGTCCCTCTTATAACAACCCTAACAATTACACTGAGCTCATCCTGTAACCCAGAACAAGATGCTATTTCCCCACTCTTCAATTCCTAACTATCATATCTGCAGAAAGAGAGAGAAAGAAATCCTTAGTGCCGTGTAAGGGAATCCATTCAGGGTTTTCACTGTGAACATCTTCAGGGCTATTATTCGGTTTATCACAGTTGGGTGTGGGGTGAGACATAAAATGCCTTCTTTCTAGCTTCATGTTAAAAAATAATACCAATCCCAAATCATCAGATCAGAAGGTCGTTCTGTCATATTAGCACAGCCTTGTCAAAGGAAAGCTGAAATTGCTTGTGCCCCAAATCCCCAGGGTAGGAGGCATCCATGTGTCTTGCAAGATAGCAGATCTTCTTGGCTCCGTTTTGCCGCTAACGCCATGCCCGCATTCTCAACATTCCCAGCTCTGCCAGGCCATGACTAACCTCGGAGACTTCACTAACTAGACCCTCGGGTGCTGGGATCCTCTTGTGTGCGTCTCTCAGTAACTCCACAGTGGTATCTGCTTTATGCCCTTAGATCTAAGCCCAGAGTTATCACAGCCCCAGATGCTCCGCAGTGACATGAGAACCATCTTGTCCCACCTACACTGTCCAGTATTGCCGCCACCGGCCACATGTGGTCGTTGAGCCCTTGAAATGTGCTTTTCCAAATTGAGATGGGCTGAAAGTACAAAATACACTCCAAACATCAAAAACTTGGTACAAAAAAGAATGCAAGACTAAGACAAGACAGACAGGGAACTTAAATACATTTTACTAAGGGAAAGAAGCCAATCTGAAAAGGCTGCATACTGTATGACTAAAACGACAGAACATTCTAGAAAAGGCAAGACACGGTAAGTAAAGAGATCAGCGTTGACGGGGCTTGGGGGAGCAGGCAATGGACACGTAGCACGGGGGTATTCAAGATGGTGAGATGATCTGTGTGAAACCGTAATGGTGGATACATGTCTCCATATATCTGTACCAACACTAGGATGTACCGCACTAAGGGTGAGTCCTAATGCAAACTGTAAACTGTGGGTGATAATTTGGTGCCAATGTGGATTCTCAGTTGTAATAAACGCACCACTCCCGTGGGGGAGGCCATGCGCATGTAGGGCAGGGGACTACGGGAACTCTCCATCCCCTCCACTCCATTTTGTTCTGAGGCTACAACTGTCCTGAAAAATGAAGTCTACTTTTTTAAAAAAACTATTTAAAAATGAAAGATACCTCATTGAGAATATTTTGTGTTAGTCTGCATACATAATAGTTTAGATATATTAGGCTTAAATAAAACATTAAATATTATCTAGGTGAATTCCCTTTGTTTCTTTTTACTTTTTTAATGTGACGACTAAGAAAGTCATAAATTCTATAACACTACATTCTTGTACAAGTTCTATAGAATTATATGATTCTCTAAATTCTACAATTATATAAAAATCATACTTGTGGCTCATCCAGACAGAGCTGGTCTGATCAATCAGGGTCCACAGTGGCTGTCTCCTCCCTTAGTCCCTGCAGAATGCTGGCTGTAAAATCCACCTGGACGCGGTGCCAGCCACAGTGCCTGGTGCAGACGTCTCAGTCGGTGTTTGCTGAATGAACGAGGGGCTCAGTGGGTGGGCACCTTGGCAAGCACAGAACAGTTCTGTGATAGCACCGTTCTCTAACTCTCTTCTCGCTCTTCTCCACCCCCTACTCTGTCGGTGAAATCAGCGTTCTGCATGCCGTAGGGACGGAGGGACGTTCTAAACTGTTTGACATCCTCCATCAAGTCCGTCCTAGAAACAAGTCCCCTACTGTCAGGCCCAAGGAACTTCCTGTGAGTCACTATAGTCGTCCCTCCACCCCACCTCCACCTTCAGCAGAGTAGTTCCTGAAGTTGCTGTTTCTTCACTTTCATGCTCATCTGTGACCCTTCTCTCCTTCCTTACATTTTTGAACTGTACTTGGGCAGAAATTAATCTCCACATTGTAGGTGAAGTGGCTGGAAAAAAGAAACATCAAGTTGCCGTTGAAAGGTCAAAGATATTTGGTTTCCCAGATCCCATGCCCAAGCAAAATGTATGAGCAATCAGATGTCACTGTTCAACCAGAAAGACTACAGTTGGGCCAAGACTCACTTTATCATATTTTGCTACAGAAAATTTAAAGGACAAACAAAAATCTAAGTAAACAAAGAAAAATGTCCTACCCTCACACCAGCTACAGTCAAATAATAGCATATTTTCTTCCAGTCTTTGTGCCCAGGAGCCTACATAATTGACGAAAGTGTTTTCACAGCTCCTCTGCCCTACTTTTCCATTCAACATTGCAGCATAAATATTTACAACATCACTTCAAACTCTTCATGGGACAAGTTAAGTGCCACATGTGGGTGAACCATAATTAATTTAATTTTGTCCAGATTGTGGGTCCCTGAATGGTTTCCTGCTGACCATTATGACAGACCCTTGCGCACATATTCATGGGTAAATATGTGCTCCACTCTGTGCTATTTTCAAGACAGAAACCAAGAATTACAGTTATTGAGTCAAGCAGTAGAGATAGATGTGGGCCCTTGATGTATCCAGCAGCCTTGTACAAAAGAAATCGACCTAACTCCACCCAATGGTTATGTTCTCTGCTCAGTCTTCATCCCCAAGGGAGAGGCGCTGAACACCCGGAAAATGCACAAGGAGCCACTGATCCTCCCTGGTCCCAGGCCACAGAAAGATCTTCTGAATGTTTGGGCTGAGAACAGATTCCTCTCAGAGAGCAGGGTGGGAGGAGTATTTTCCCTCAAAATGGGCAGGAAAACTTATGTGAGCAATCAGACCATTTTGTCCCAGGAAACAGAACAAAACATGAACTTAAACCATCCTGAGGGGAATGGAGTATATTGACTCACATTGTTCAAAAAGAATAGCGAAGTCGTACACAGAATTGAAAGGGGTACAGGAAAGATGTCCCCAGGCAGTAAAACTGCGTCTTGACACTACCAGCTTCCCCTCCACACGCACCCATATTTCTTTCACTTTCTCAACCCTCTATTCATCTATTTCTCACCTCTCTTTTCTCTCCTTGGCTCCGTACCTTCATATTTTCCATTATAGAGAGGAAAGTGCTTTGCACAATATCTAGCACACAGTGAGCATTCAACTATAGCAGATATTCCCCTTTTCACCTGTCAGGAAAAAAGAACAGCAAGCACTTTCAACTTTACATTCTCCTTTATTTTTACCGCTAAAAGGAAGAGTGACTTTCCCATAGCATCTATGAATCCCAGGGAACAATGTGATTGGTCTCTGCAAAGGTCACGTGACCACCCACAGAGCCAATGACTGATGCCTGAGGAATAGAGTTCACCGAGAACCTGCACCTGAGTCCTTTGACAACCTCACCGGCCAGACCTTTTATCAAAATAAGGAAGAAGCAAAAATTGATGGAAAGTCTTTTAAAAATGACTTCCTTCACTGAGCATGCTCATCTGTACCCACAGGCTCCAAGAACGTCGGGTTACGAAAGCAGGGCGTGGACATTTGGTAAGAGTTGTCAAAAGCAGACAACATTCCTCATATTTGAATTTCACTTTTAAAAACAAGGAGATGATGGGAAGATACCCGATTAGCATCAGGCACCCACCTTCTATTGATTCCAAACAGATACTGTATAATTATGCTCCTTACCTGGAGATCCCATATGCCAGACGACAAACGTTTCTCTGCAATTATCTGATTCTGTGTTGCATAATTTAGACGTTCAAGTTGTCAGGAAAGAGCTCTTATCCATAAATATAAAATTATGTATGTGTATCATCCGGTTGTAAGACAATCAGTAAACAGGGCATTTAAGAAAAGTGTACAGTAATTACTGAGGCCTGCTGTTTGGGGGCATATTACCTAACCAGGTAATGAAATAGCTGAACACGGTCTTCTATTTAATTGTCATTCATGGGCAGATAGGAAGATATTCTGCAGCTTTTAATTAAGTCATAGAATAGCTCAGCTTTACTGTGCACTAGGTAGAAGGTGGTTTTATTTCTTTTTCTTTTTTTAGTGGGATGAACTGAGCCTCACTTCTCTGGCACAGAATCTAGAAATAAAGGTTATGAAATCTTCAATAGAATTTTCCACATCCCTTGAACATCTGCCTTATAGGTAAAATGAAAGAATTCTCACAAGAGTTGACTGAAAGTCAACCTCGGGATTGAGACAGAACATTAGAAAAACTAGTTATTTTTTGAGTGCCTACTATGTGTCAGATACTGCGCAGAGCATTTCCCTTGTTTTGCCCCATTAAAACCCCTGCTTTCTGCACAGGATGAAACCCAGACTCAGAGGGCTGGTGTGGCATGTCAAGGTCACACAGCTCATGAGCGACAGAGCTGGGACTTGAATCAAGCTGGTCAGACTCCAAGGTCCACGAGCTGGCTGCCACAGCCTGGACTCACAAGCCGGCAGCAGAAAGGAATCAATGCCAAAGTTTCCTTCTAACTGTCAGGTTCCATGATGCCAATTTTTGTAGCTCTACTCATAAATGGCACGAAAATAGCATCTGGTGAATCAGGGCTCAGGGGAACCAAATTCTGCTGGATGGTTCTGTCATCTGTTGTCTTTTGCAAGGCAAAACCTGTCGGAGCTCTCATGCGCTGCAAACCTTATGCCTTCCCCTGAGGACGGCAGACAATCGGTTCCGCAAACGGACCACAGTCTACAGGGCACAGATTTTGGATCTGAACTGCCTGCGTTCAAACACAGACTCCACTATTCCCCAGCTGTAGATATAGGCAAGTAACCAAATGCCCACCACCACAGGCAGACGAAAGGCTCCAGATGCAGTCAGCAAAGAGTCACCCTTGTGGGAGGAGGCCTGGGAGTGGTGTGAAGAGACCACCCACCGGGATGCTCTGAAACAGGCCGGCCAGGATGCCAGATACCCAGAGAGGAGCGGAGCCCAGGCAGACGCGTGTCAAAGCAGCTCAGGTTTCCAGACAGAGGCAAAAGAAGACCACAGGGAGTCTCAGACACAGATGTCCCCAGAGCCAGGTTGGTAGTAAACACTGTCAAAGCCACCTGTGAGCAAAAATGACGACAAATGGGAAGGGGGGAGACAGGGCCCACCGCTGCACACCATCGAGTACTGCCCGTGGGATTCTGTAAGTGTC